ATTTTCGGTGGATTTCCACCCAGATTCCCACAAAGGTGCTCTCATCTGTCAAAATCAATGTTTCTGCAGGGAGATGAAGGTAAAAACTCCTTTTTCACTATCTTGCTGATGTCACCCTAATATCAATTATTCTTTAAGATCTTTCAAAAAATCGAAGAGGAGAGACATGTCTAATGAAGCCAGCATTATCAAGATACACCAAAGCCATACAAAAACCCTACAAAAAAAGATAAATAATAGACTAATATCTTTGATTAATATAGATGCAAAAACCCATGACAAAACACTCAGACCAAATCCAATAACACATTGAAAGGATCATATACCACAATCAAGTGGAATTTATATATGGGGGGTGTACCTCCTATCATCAGAATGAATAAAGAAAAAAAAATATAATTATCTTAATAGATGCAGAAAAGACACTTAAAATTAAAACTCTGTGATAAAAACTCTCAACAAACAACATAAGGAAGGAATTTATTTCAACACATCACAGGCCATATATAAAAACCCCACCACTATTATCATAGGCAATGCTGAAATGCTCAAGAGAAAGTAAAGGATGTCCAACTGCACATCTTTTATTCAAAATAATAATGGAAGTGCTAGCCAAAGCAATTGGACAAGAAATATATATATGTTTTTCTTTCACTTTCACCAAAATAGAAAAGAAGTAAAATTAGCTCTGTTGCAGATGATATGATTATGTAATTAGAAAGTTCAGAAGACTCTACAAAAATGTGTAGTCAAATAAGGTTAAGATATAAAAATAATATATGAAATCACCTGGGTTTCTATACTCCAACAATAAATTAATTGAAAAAGATAATTTAAAAATCCAGTTTATAATAGCATCAAATAAAACAATTACAGCTAAGCATAACTATCAAAGTGAAAAACTTATACACTGAAAACTATAAAACATTGATAAACAAATTTTGAAATACAGAAATAAATGCAGACATTCCATGTTCATGGATTGAAAAAATTAATATTGTTAAAATGCCAGATTATCCATGGTGAAATACAGAATCAATAAAATTCTTATCAAAATTTCAATGACTTTTTTTGAGAAATTTTAAAAAGTCCTAAAATTGTTATGGCACCAACAAAGTCTAAAAATAGCCAAAGCAATCTTGAGCAATAAGAACAAAAATGGAAGTATCAAAATTTTTCATTTGAAAATATATTACAAAGCTACCAAACTAGTATGATACTGGTATGAAGTAGACATAGTTCAATAATGAAATATAATTTAGAGCTCAGAAATAAACTCATGCATACATGCTCAACAATCTTTTTAATAAATGGTGTTGGGAATAGTGTATATATATATGCAAAAGGATGAATTTGGATCCATATCGAACACCAAAAAGAAAAGTCAACCTAAATTAAATTTTAAAATATTAACAGCTCTTGCTATTTTTATAATATTTGAATGATATGTATCAATTTTGTTTCTAATATGGTAAATATCAGTACATGTAAAGCATAAGTTTTTTTATGTCTTCAAACATTTTTAAGGCTATACAGATATATACATCATATAAGAGAGAGAAATATGTTAATTTAAATAAATACTATTTGATATTATATCCTTCAATAGCTTAAAAAATTTCAGGTAGTAAACTTTGGTATGTATTATTCCTACTATTTTTTTTTTGTCTTTGGAATGCTATGTTCACATTAAAAAATACTGTGGTTTATTAATTGCCATAAGTTACTTTTCTTCTTAATTTGTTTCAAGTTGGCATATCTGTCCAGTCCTTGTATGCACGCTGATGGACTGAGCAGTCACACCACCGTCTCAGGGAATGCTTGCAAACTCTACCAAGCGAGCGGTGCGTCAGAGTCGGGCTTTCTGCCCCAATGCACACACGTAGTCTGAGCACAGAAGTCCGGATGGAGAAGATGGAGGACAGGTCAAGATCAGCTGGGCCCCGAGAAACGCGTGTTGAGGTGACATCCAAGACATCTTTTAGTGAGAGAGATTTCTGTTTCCATAGCTGTCAGTTCTTATTGCTCTCAATAAACTAGTGAGATTTCCTATGGACTTTCCTGGCTGTGTTGCATGCAGTGGGGAAGCAGAGATACTGATTTTTAGCCTTCATTTCCTAGATGTTTCTTCAGAGCTTCTTCATCACTCCTTCATTCTGTTTCTTTCTGCAATTGCAGCTCCTAGGAACTTTTGGGATATTTGAAAAACTGGATTTTCCCCCAAAACTTGCTTCTGAGGGGTGGCACCCAGTATCTGGGGACTGCTAACATTGTTGGCCATGTCTCCTGTGTGAGCAAGTGTTTCCAGCGCCTTGTGTCATTAAGAGTTCCACTCTGTGTCAAAATTCGTTTTTCCTTTACCTCCTTTCCTTTGAAAATTTATTCTACAAAGTGACCCATTTTTCTTTAATTTAGTAGCTGCTGATTTATTATGGGTTTAAAAATTTTTAATCTTCCTTTTTGCATGATTTCTCAGTATGCCATAATGAGCCCAAACCATTAAAATATTATTTTATTAGGTACTCCAGAAGCAGCATTGTTCACGTGACTTAGGGTAAGTTTGACTCTCCCTGAGAAGGGACTCCTTGGATTTCACTCACTGAGGAATGAGGCAAATATCATTAATCTTTTTAAAATACAGAAAACAATATTCCTGTTAGGGAAGGTAAATTTCTTACCTCACTTCTTAGATATTTTTGTGTCTTAATTCATGTTCCTTTCAAATTACTAATGAATAATTCACTAAATTAGTATAATGTGTCTAAAGATTATTTGTACATGTCATTATTTTTATCCCCTGTGGTTAAATGTATGCTCATAGAATAGGCTGAGTGTTTCTGATTCTATGATTTATTTTAGGTGGTTTGTTTCTAAAAATGGTACTTAAAGATCTGTTTGTGACACATGTCTGGTCAAAATATTCACCCTGGCTGGTGTGGCTCAGTGGATTGAGCACTGGCCTAAGAACCAGAAGGTTGCCGGCTTGAGTCCCAGTCCTACATGCCTGGCTTGTGGGGCAGGTCCCCATTAGGGGCATGCAAGAGGCAACCAATTGATGTTCTCTCTCACACATCGATGTTTCTCTCCCTCTCTTTTTCCCTTCCCCTCTCTCTAAAAATAAATAAATATTTTTTTAAAATATCGAACCTATAATGACACAAAAATTCCCTGAGAATTGAAATACTATATAAACAATGGATAAAATATTCCTTGGGCTGAATTTTTAGGGAAAATTCTGATGCCTACAAGCACACCATGGAAATTAAACCATTAAGTAAAGATGTGCTCTAAAATGCTAAAGGAAATGTCAAACTATCCAGTATAGTTATTATGAATAATTTCTCATATTTCCTGCAGAAGATGAACCAGAGGTACACTATGGCGATCATTCAATGTCTTATATTTCAGCAATTAATAAGAAATTAGCAATACCACTCATTCTGTTGCTTTCCAGGATTAGAAATTGCACTCCGTCTGGATGGGAGGCCGCACCCCTCCCGCCGGCACCCCCCCCCCCCCCCCCCGCCACCGTCCCGCACCTTCCCGCACCTTCCCAGCAGATGTGGGCCAGGCCCGCAAGGGGGAGCTTGGGGAGGCAGGAGGACCCCCACTGTCCACAGAAAGTGCTTCTCGAGTTCGGACAGCCTTTCTGGGAATCTCCTTGAGACTGTTGTTACTAATCATGAAACATTAAAACCTACAAGCCTTAAAAAATTGTAAAACAAATAATTTCCAAAGATCATAAGATAATAAGGAACAGGGAAAATAGGCTGAAGTTTCTTCGGTCCAAGAGCATTCACTTTGTATTTCCATGGGAGAAGGTATAAGGTAAGTGGAGCGTTGGGCCACTTGAGCCTCTGTGTAGCCCCCTCGGGAACAGAGCGCGCAGCCCAGACTCGGCGTGGGCTGGCGCCCCTCCCGTCCAGCCGCGGCTGCGTGGCTGCGCCGCAGCCGGAGGAAACCGCCGCGGGCGGCAGCGGCTGAGTCCCCGAGCACGTGTTTGGTAGCAATGACATTCTCTTTTTAAAGGCTTTCCTCATCATTAGTAAAATGGGGGTGACTGAAGACATCACAAAACTAAAAGGGTTATTATCGAAAAACAATTAATATTAAATATTTTTTAAAACAACTGAAAATATAAATGTAACCAAAGCAAGCCCCTCGTTATTACTCAAGTAAAATGGCGGCACAAAACAGTACTTTCTAATAAAGTAAATTATATAAACATAAATTAATGTAAAAATATAATTTCTCATATATTAAAGTTACAATCTGACAAGTCTAGATTTTCACAAGATATTTAAATAAAGTAAACTTATATCTCCCCCAAATTACTTAAATTTGGAAAGGAATACTACAATTTGGAGAAAAATATATGATTTAAAATGCTTCAGCACAAGCCAAAATAAATAGGCTGGAATTAGAATAGTTATCGTAGAAGGAGGCGATTTCCGCAAAGTCCCGGGAGGCCCACACGGAACGTCAGCCCCCGGTAAACGCGGACGCGCGCGGGGGGCGGACGCTGAGCGGCTCTGGGAGCAGCAGCGTCGGGCGGACGCCTGTCCGGGCGAGAGCGAGCGCGTCACAGACAGCAAGGCGCCCAGGCCCGGAGGCCCGGAGGCCCGGAGGCCCGGAGGCCCGGAGCGCGAGCCCCGGACGGGCCGGGCGGGGCCGGAGAAGACACCGCCGAGAGGCCTTGGCCGCAGAAGAAGCCCGGAGGGCCTTCGTGCATCCCTTTAGGTGCTTGGCGCTCTGATCCTGTGATCGCTGAAACACATATGATATTACAGCAGAGCTGGGGGACAACAGTAAGAAACGGAGACATTTATTGATTTCGAAACAGTCTTTTTCGTTCATTTTTTTCTATCCAGATTTTGCGGTTCCAAGCCACGTAGAAAGGCCGCTCGTCGCGCTGATGGGAGCGCGCTGGGCCTGTCCCCACTGCTTTGGCATCATCCCCCTTTGTCCTTTGCCCCAGGTCGCCGCAGCCACGAGCCGACATGGGCAACCTCACCAGCGTCACGGAATTCCTCCTCATGGGCATCTCACACTCTCAGGAGCTGCAAATTCTGCAAGGTCTGCTATTCTTACTGCTCTACCTGGGAGCCCTGGCTGGAAATCTGACCATCACCATCATTGTGACAGACCCACGCCTCCACTCGCCAATGTACTTTTTTATCAGCAACGTATCCCTCATTGACCTCTGTAGCATTTCAGTTATTGTTCCCAAATTGATTGTAAATTCCCTGACAGGCAGGAAGTCAATTTCACTCAAGGAATGTGCTGCTCAGATTTTCCTATATCTTTCCTTTGCATTTACAGAGCTTGCCTTCCTTGGGGTGATGTCTTATGACGGCTATGTAGCCATTTGCTACCCTTTGCACTATGCGTTGACCTTCACCCCGCGTCTGCGCTGCACACAGGCGGTCGGCAGCTCGGGCGGCAGCGGGCTGGTGTTTTCTGCTGTCCACACTGGGACCGTGTTCAGACTTCCCTTCACAAGGTCCAATGTGATCAATCAATGTTTCTGCGATGTACCGCAATTTATGAGAATATCATCTCCAGAAGTTAACTTTTCTGAATCTGTGAGTCTTGCTATGAGTTCTTGCATTGTCTTGGTATGTTTTTCTTTTTTGGTCGTGTCATACATAAACATATTTTCAACTGTGCTGAAGATTTCTTCAACAGAAGCCCGCAAAAAAGACTTATCCACCTGTACCCCACAGCTGGTCATTCTTCTCGTGTTTGTATTTTCTGGATTGATTGCTTCCTTAGGTCCCATTGCAAAGGAAGCAACCCTTAAAAACCTGCTGGTTGCCATGTCCTACACCAGGGTGCCCCCGCTCCTAAACCCCGTGCTCTACAGCCTGCGGAACCACGAGATCAACACGGCGCTCGGCAGGATGCTCAGCAGGCGCCTTGAGGCAGGCATTCCATTGATTGAAAAAAATGTTCAAAAGCAAGAAAATTTCACAGAAGTATAATTTATATTTGCTGTCTGTTCCTAAGTTTGACTATATCCCTAGGAATTAGCCTGTTAGTGTCTATATGTTTTTGTTGTCCAAATGTGTGTTACAACATTTAATGTATTAACTTCCTTGTTTAAACTGTATAATGCATGCATGCTTCTTGAACACGTTATTGTATATGATGCATACACACTTCCTGAAAACACTGTCAGCCTGGTCCATATTGCCAAAATGTTTGGAAAACTTGGGAATGACTGTGAGCTAAATGCAAAGGATGTCATATGCAGAAAGCTGTGCCTCATATGTCAGTCCCTTATTTTAATATCCTTCAATGTTAACATGGAGCTTTTTAATGAAGTTTATACCTATTTTACTGGTGTGAAAGATATTTTCTTTCAGTTTGTGACATTAGTTTTGTGCTTTTATACTCTTTCGAGCAACATGACTGGTCAACTTCAATGTAGCAAATTTCATCAGTTTTTGTGGTTTGTGTTTTGTTGTTTTTATAATGTGCTGGTGTGACATTGATTTATATATCAGTTTCAGTGCAATTCTATAATATGTCAACAAAACCTGGCAATTTCTCGTCTATATTTTCTTTCTTGAGTATGTGATTCTTAGCTATCCTGATATTCTGAAGTTATTTGACTTTGTTAGCCTTTAAAAGCATTATAGTTTTCACTTTTATATTTTGTCCTTTAATCTACATTTGTGCATGGTGTGAGTTGAGTCAAATTTCATTTGATTCAATATTATTATCCCACTGTCCAAACACTGTTTACTGAACATGAATAAACTAGGCTCTGTGATTGCCTGCTCACTCTGCCACACGGTGTGTGTTTGCGTAGGCAGGTCTGTAGCTGTGCCTTGTATTCTGTGTGCATTGGTCATTCTGCTTGTTTCTATGCCCCATCACACAATTTAATTAAAATAATCATATAACAAATTCAGATATGTTGTATAAGAATCCTCATTTATTCTTTCTCCCTTTTTTCTTCTTCTTTATTCTCATTTTCTTCCTCCTTAGCTACATTTATTGCCATATAAGTTTTAGAGACACTTTTCATTTGCTAAAGAAATATATCCACTGAGACTTTATTATACTTTATCAAACATAAAATAATTTGGGGGAAAAAGGTATTTTTGCACATTCTAACCAAGGTATATGTCTATTTATTTATTACATATAGTGTAATATGACAGGTATAATAACTTTGTATGATATGTAAGTATGTAGTACAATATTGTACACATATATACATAATATAAACATAATATATGCAACATGATATATAATATATATGCACACACGTATGTATGTATTAATATCTATTCTATGTAAGTAGTAATTTTGAAAATTTAATTTTTGTTCATTACATATGTATGGATATATATGTATAGAGAGAAATAGAGATATAAAATTAATAAGTTTATTGAACTTATATTGCAATTTAATTTTTCAAGCCCTGGTGTTAATTCTAAAAACTTATCTATAGATTCCCTTTAAATTTTCAATACACGGTTTAATTTGTTGATGTTGTTAGTGCAGTTTTGTCCTTTACAATCATTTTTTTCCCTACTGTGTTATTGGTGAAAGGTTCAATAGAAGTGGCATTAGTGAGTGTATTTATCATCAAAAGAACAGTTTTTACAAATTAATGGATATACTTTCATTGAATTTCCTATTTTTTTATCCTTGTCTGGATCAGGTTATTCACTTCTCATCCTTGACAACCACTTTCTGCCTCTATAACTTTGCCTATACTGGATCATTCATGTAAGTAGAATCACACAATCTATGGCCTTTGTGACTGGCTTTTTTTGTGTAGCATAATACTTTCATGTCTCAGGGTGTGTTAGTAATTTATTCCTTTTATTGTCAAATAATATTTCATTGTATGGACAGATTTTGTCATGTGCAGCAAGTTTCCCGTTTCCCTTTTCTGTATTGATGCTTTTTTAAAATGGTCTTGCCTACTTGCCCTGCGGTCACCACTGGCTTTCCCATGCACATACATTGGTGTAATCTCTTTTGTAATGTGGCTTCGATCAGCCCCAAAAGGTTTGCTCTTTAACACAATGGAGGAGTAACAAAGAGATTCAGTTTGTCAGTAGGCAAATCAACACAGTTTTGCCCAAATTTTGAAAAGCTCCTCTTCATCCTCTTCTATCGTTTTAATTTCTGGCTCAGAAGGAGAAATTCTAGGCTCCAAGGGAAGGTTGTGGCAGGACCCGTCTGCTTTCCGGGCGGGCGAGTTGTCTCGTCCCCACGGGGTCCTGGGCCACCAGCGGGCCGCAGGGATGGGCAGACTCCACAGGGGCTCCTCCTTCCCGCCCACCTGCCCTCTCTACCCGATTGTGCCTTAAGTTTTAATCTTATATTAAAACAGTTATTTCTACAACTAATAACAACTTCGATCAGGATTTGCGCTCAAGCGTCTCTGACTCTGATGTGGCATCCATAGGACACAGTCTCATGCTTTCTTACATAATATATGTATGACCACAAACCAGCCACCCCCAGTTATGCATAGTGGGCCCTGAGAAATTTCTACCAAATTACTCTGTAGATTTTGTGATGTTATAATCTCAAACTTCACAAAATAACAGCTAGCAAACATGCACTTGGTGTCTCATGTAAATTATTTTTTTATGAAACTTGGTTGTATGTGCAAAGTACTTTGTCATGTGTATCCATAGTTTATATAAACAAGAATATTGCTGATCAAACTGTATAACTCAGATACTGACATCAGTTAACTGCACCGTGGGCAAGGAGGGTGATGCACAGGGAGTGAGTTAAACACCAGTACACTCTTGACTGCTCAAAAGAATAAATTAACTAACAAATAACATGTGTGTGGCAGCTTCCCAGGTGTTAAAAGTAACCTCAGAGGCAAAATTAACAGGCCTTATTTGCTATACCTTTTCTCTTTATATAGTGAAAAGTAACCCCAATTTTTATAGGACTTAGCAATTTATGTTATACAACCATTTTTTTGAAAACATTATCATATCTTACACCATAAACAACTAAAATTCAAGCAATAAGTGGCCACTGAGGACGCCCTGATCAAGTTCAGAGTCGAGGTAGGAGCGCAGATTTACTAACATCAATAATAAGCTTATTTTGCCAAATGAAGAGTGTCCCTAAAGCCATGGAATTATAGAAGTAATATTTTCAAATCACTTGCACAACCCACACCTCAAGGGTACTTATGAGACATTGTCTACGTGGTCTTATGCTGTATAGCACTTGCAATAAATTACTAAGATTGATATACTAGCATTCTCTTATTTCATAAGGAAATCATTGCAGAATGTAAGATCCGCCACCCTTTTCACTACCACAAAACAGTGACTTCATTGATTCATTCAGTGATGCTATTAAGCAATTAATCCAATAACTGCAATATTTCCCTCTAAATGAAATACAGATAGCAAACAACTAATAATACTCTCAAGAAATTACTAAATTTGCCTTATCAAAATTTCTATTCCTTAGTCATTCCCTAATATTAAGCCTTACCTCAGGCCCAGCCCTCCATGTTTTGTATTCAAATGTGTAAATTTTAAGAGCACAAAATTAAGATAAGTTTTTACAAACCTGTGTCCAATCCTTGGTTCTGCAACTAAATACTCTTATTAACTATTCCTATTTCTTAATTGATAATTATTAATAAAGGCGACATTTTTTTTAAATAAAAGGTATTCCTAACTAACAATTTATAGTTTCTCTACTCTAAGAAATATATTACACATTTGTAAAAAAGGCCAAACTTTTTATTAATAATTCATATTCTACCCTTTCTACAGAGTGACTTCCTTGTGCACATAACATTTTCTTACCAAAATATTGGCCCAATACCTTATTACACTTATATGTCAGTTATGAAACCTAAAGTAAATGGAGGTTAATTGATTTAACTAGTATCAGAGGGCATTGTTAGGGTGCACCTAGAGGGCTGCACGTGTAAAGACCCTCCCAGGGCTGGTGAGGAAAGCCTCCTGCAGATGCTGCGAGCACTTCTTTTAATCCAGGAATTGCCTGAGCTGGACCTTGGGCATCATTCTCTTCAGCTTCCTCAATTTGCAGAAGAGGAAACTGACCACGGAAGAGGTTAAAGGTTTTTCCAAGATCCGTGGTTGGTTGGAGGAAGAGTCAAGGGTAAGGCCCAGGCATCCACAGCATCATGGCCTCACCGGTGCTGCAGGTGGGGAGAGTTCCCTGAGGCTGATATGCTTCTGCTTGTGTAGCCGGAAAACTACCTGCATTGACAGTTGCTTCAGAGGGAATAAAAGCCTATCCTTTCTTAAAAAATAAAGTATTTAGAGCTTTCAAGATGGCAGTAGAGTGGTTAGATCTTGCATCACCTCCTCCCAGAACCAAACTGGAAATACAGCTACATTGGGGAAAAATCACCCTGAATAACCAACTACAGACTAGGTGAGCAGGAGTTCTGTAAACAAGGATTTGCGGAAGAAGCCACGTTCAGACTGGTAGGAAGGGTGCAGATGCCACAGACACTGGTCCAGGTCCCACTGGCGAGGGCGGAGGTGCCAGAGGGATATCTCAGCTGTGGGAGGGTCATCCTGAGAGGCCTGAGGCCTAAAGCCAGGTTGGGCTCCCGCGACCAGAGTTCCAGCGTCGGGAAGAGGCGTCCACACACCGTCCCCGCTGTAAAAATCAGCGAATTTCTGCCCGCCAAGGAAAGGTGGAGTCCACTGGAAACACACACACCCTCTTAAAGGGCCAATGCGCAAAATTCCAGTCGCAGCCACTCAGCCTGGGTTCTGAGAAGAGAGGCCGGTGCACCCAGAGTCACTTGGGGGAGAGTCTGGAGTTTGCCGCTCTGGGGAGAACTCCGGGGGCACGCGCGCCAGAATCCCTGTGGCGAGTCATTCTCACACACCCCGAGCAGCCGTCTTCCTTGGGCGGAGCCTCCCTTCTGAGTGGCCTCGGCCTGCGTAAAGCAGTTATCCCGTGCCCTGGACTCCCTCTTTCCCCGCGCGCCCGTGGATCTGATGCCCTGCTGAGGAGTCGGTGGCATCGGCCAGAACACGAAAGTCTGGGCAGACTCAGGGAAGGTCAGTGCCTGGGTCTGGGGCGGGGCCATTCAAAGCTGGCCCGGAGCGCAGCGTGGTCCTTCCCGTGGGCAGCCAGGCCCAGCGGAGGCAGCCACAAACTGTGGATTGCTTGTAGCTACAAGCAGGTTGTTGAGGGCCGGGCAAGGCAGTGGATTGCAGTGGAGTCCCTCCCAAGGGGCCCAGAACCAGCATGCCCAGTGGCCAGCCTCAGACAGCATCAGCCCAGGATCCAACGAGCTTCACAAAGAGCATAGCCTAGGAAAGATCCCAGTAGGCACTAAACTCTGCTGAGCTGAAATTCCACTCTTTTCTCTCTAAATTTTTTTCTTCCTTCTTTTCTATTTTTTTAAATTTTCTTTTTCCTTTTCTTTTTCTTTGGGTTCTTCTTTCTAATCTTTTTTTCCCCTTTTCTCTATTCTTATTCTTTTTTCTTTTTTTCTGTATCCTTTTTTCAAAAGATTTTATTTATTTATTTTTATAGAGAAGGGAAGGGAGGGAGAAAGAGGGAGAGAAACATCGATGTGTGACAGAAACATTGATTGGTTGCCTCTCACACATCCCGACCTGAGCACCTGGCCCACAACCCAGACGTGTACCCTGACATGTCTTAGGTTGTTTTTCTTAGGTTCAGTTATTGATAGTTGTGAGTTTGTTGGTATTTTACTGTTCATAGTTTCAGATCTTCTTTTTCTTAGATAAGTCCCTTTAACATTTCATATAATAAGGGCTAGGTGATGATGAACTCCTTTAACTTTACCTTGTCTGGGAAGAACTTGTCCTGGGAATCAAGCCAGGAACCTTTTGGTTTGCAGGCCAGCGCTCAATTCACTGAGCCACACCAGCCAGGGCTCCTTTCTTTCTTTCCTTATTCTTTTTTCCTTTTTTATTTTTCTATTATTTATTATTTTATTATACTTATTTATTTACTTTATTTAATTTAAAAAAATTTTTTTAAATCAGCACCCATACAGCAGTTCCCGTGCCATAGACAGGATTGAGCCTCGTGGTCAGCCAGCCTGAGGGTTGATTCCACGCATGAACAAGCCAGCAGCAATCAACACTCAGTCACAACAGGGAGGCCCACATAACCCATACATCACCCAGCTCAGGGGATCAGTGAGTGGAGGACACACCACTGGGTCCCACATACACCTACTACATAAGACCACCCCACAAAGCCTTGGTGTCAAAGCAGATCTGTCTAATACATAGAAGCAAACACAAAGAGGCAGCCAAAATGGGGAGACAAATAGGCTCCAAATGAAAGAACAGGAGGAATCTCCAGGGGGGAAAAAAAATAAAAGCAGAATGAAATGGAGGCAAGCAATCTATCAGATGTAGAATTCAAAGTAATGGTTAAAAAGATGCTCAAGGAACTTAGTGAGGACTACAAAAGCATGAAAAAGGGCAAAGATACCATGAAAAAGAACCAGTTGGAAATGAAGAATACCATATATAACATCAAGAATATACTGGAAGAAAAAAAAAGTATTCCACCAACTTCCCCCCAGGAAGGGAAGACAACTGTGTCCCAGCTTTCTGAGCACAGACCGACTCACCCTGTAGCGGGTAGGACAGTGCGGACCTGCCATCCACCCACCCCGCCCCCTGCCCAGGTTCCCATCACCCCACAAACCTGAGGCTGCCAGGGTTAGGATGGGGAGGGTGGGGGGTGAGATTTACATGTTGAGAATTTAATGAGTTAAGATAATGTAAACACTGAGCTGTTAGGATTCTGGACTCTACTTTTATAATATCCCCAACTGCCAGATTCTCCTGCTGCAGCTTTTCTTGGACAGTGACTTATTTTGGTTCTTTTGAACCAGGAATGTTTCCTCCTACTCCTATTTCATTGCCAGGTTCAAGAAACTTACTGGACATTCTTTTGACATGGGCTATAGCATGGCAATTTGGAACAGCATTGTAGCTGCTCTTACTGTCACATGGCACCGCATGTAAACCTTCACTGAAGCAATGTTCCTGGCAAAGCTTAGTCATGGTTGCTGTGTAGTAACAGGGAAGAGCATCGTTGCCTACTCTAAAGGCCAAGAAACCTGTTGCTCCTCATGGGATTCAGATACCTGTCATCTCGTCATTATGGAAAGACTTCTTAAACATTATTCTAAAACCTAAGCAATGGGATAGCTGAGGATTAAGTTTCAAGTAATTTCTTAAAATTAAAAGATGTTTATCTCATCTCTTTACTTCCATGTGTGTTATTTTTCTAAGCTGTAGAAAGCAGTTTAATGGAAATTAAACTGGAAAACTTGAATACAGGACAATGCCTACCTTTCCATGTATATACTACCTTTGTCCTAAAAACTACTGATACTACTGTTTAATTGAAGTAATATAACTTAATTATTCACTATATCAGGAAAGCAAACTATACCCACTATGTTCGCATTTTATAGAAACTACTTTTAAATCAGAATATTTAGATTTTGTTATTCTTTTAATCAATAGAAGGTGCACTTATATATTTTGATAGTTCATAATTTCTTGGGGTTTTTTACATATTTTTTAAAGTATACTTAATTGATTATGTTATTATAGTTGTCCCATTTTTTTTCTCCCCTTTATTCCCCTCTACCCTGTACCCCTGCCCCTACCAGCATTCTCCTCCCTTAGTTCATGTCCATGGGTCATACATGTAAGTTCTTTGGCTTCTCCATTTCTTATACTATTCTTAAACTGCCCCTGTCTATTTTGTACCTACCAATTATGCTTCTTATTCTCTGTACCTTTTCTCCCATTCTCCCCTCGCCCCCTCCCCACTGATAACCCTCCATGTGATCTCCATTTCTGTGATTCTGTTCCTGTTCTAGATGTTTGCTTAGTTTGTTTTTGTTTTTCTTAGGTTCAGTTATTGATAGTTGTGAGTTTGTTGTCATTTTACTGTTTATAGTTTCTGATCTTTTTCTTAGATAAGTCCCTTTAACATTTCATATAATAAGGGCTTGGGGATGATGAACTCTTTTAACTGTACCTTGTCTGGGAAGAACTTTATCTGCCCTTCCATTCCAAATGATAGCTTTGCTGGATAGTGTTATCTTGGATGTAGGTCCTTGCTTTTCATGACTTTGAAAACTTCTTTCCAGCCCCTTCTCGCCTGCAAGGTTTCTTTTGAGAAATCAGCTGATAGTCTTATGGGAACTCCTTGGTAGGTAGCTGTCTCCCTTTCTCTTGCTGCTTTTAAGATTCTCTCCTTATCTTTAATTTTGGATAATGTAATTATTATGTGCCTTGGTGTGTGCTTCCTTGGGTCCAACTTCTTTGGGGCTCTGAGCTTCCTGGATCTCCTGGAAGTCTATTTTCTTTACCAAATTGGGGAAGTTCTCCTTCATTATTTTTTCAAATAAGGTTTCAATTTCTTTCTCTTCCTCTTCTCCTTCTGCACCCCTGTGATTTGGATGTTGGAACGTTTAACGTTGACTCAAAGTTTCCTAATCCTCTCTTCATTTTTTTGAAATCTTGGTTCTTCATTCTGTTCTGGTTGAATGTTTATCTCTTCCTTCTGCTCTCAATCATTGATTTGAGTCCCGGTTTCCTTCCCTTCACTTTTGGTTCCCTGTATATTTTGCTTTATTTCACTTTGCATAGCCTTCTCTTTTTCCTCTATTTTGCATCTGTGCTCAACCATTTCTGTGAGCATGCTGATTACCAGTGTTTTGAACTCTGCATCTGATAGGTTGGCTATCGTTTTGTCACTTAGTTCTCTCTTTGGAGCTTTGATCTGTTCTTTAATTTGGGCCACATCTCTTTGTCTCAGTGCTCCTGTACATTGGGAGGGGCAGAGCCTTAGGTATTCACCATGGCAGGGCAACCCAGGTGGCTGCATTGTGATGCTGTGTGTGGGGGGAGAGGTTCAAGAGGGAACAATGCCGCTTGCTGGGCTCTTGGCCAGCTTTCAGTCACTCCCCCTGCTACCCACAAGCAAATTGTGCCCTTCTGGTGCTGATTCCCCAGTGGGTGGATTTGTGTACTTTCTAGGACCCAGTGGGTCTCTCCAACGGATTGAGAATTTCTCCCACTGCCACAGCCCCCACAGGTTTTTACAGCCAGAGGTTTTGAGACTTTCCTTTCCTGCACTGGAACCCTGGATTGCATGGTCTGTCTCGCTCCCCAGCCCTTCCTCATGGTTTATCTGCACACAAATGTGGGACCACCCAGTCTGCCCGCCACCGCCT